TGGTATTTGCTATTTTTTGCTAATGTTTATACACATCCGCAAAGAGAAATTTAGTTTGTAGTTGAAGTATTCAACGTTCGATACGAAGTGTTGTTGCAAACTGGTAAAAATGCCTAATTTTTTATCTGTAATGCGAACTCAAAGCGAAGTTTTTCGCCTGTTTCGAGAGTCGCATCCTGACTTGTCACCTATAAATGAAGGTACTATTAGTAAAATAGAGGCACAATATCGATGAATTGGTCATATCAGAAAAGTACCGAGAAAGAGGCAAGCTGTTGTCAATGAAGACACGAAGTTGAATTTGTTGCTTGCTCTAGAAGAAAATCCAGTCACTCCAGCCCGTTTACTAACCCGTGATAGTAATCTTAATCACAAAATGGTTATAAAAATACTTAAATATGAGAAAAAACGCCCATATAAAATACAGGCTGTCCGAGAGTTGCTAAGATGATCCAAATCGACGATTGGAATTTTACGATTTGTTGATGACTCGTTTTGATCAAAGCTATTTATCTTTAGACTGGATACGTAAATCGCCAAAACTGTCGTTATTGGGCTGCAGATAACCCCCATTGGATGAGGGAACTTCATACTCAACGCCCACAGAAAACTAATGTATGGGCCGGAATAATACGCGATAGAATTGCAAGACCATTTTTATTTGATGACACATTATTAATGGAGCAAGATACTTGCATTGCATTTTGTCTAGCATGAATTAATGCCAGTTATATGCAATTTTTTTCCAAATCCCATGAACCCCAACTTGACCGACGAGAGGCTAAGGTTTCAGCAAGATGGAGCCTCGCCCGACCACGCTGCTATTCGTCAATATAAGGACAGAATTTTTCCCGGTAGGTGGATTGGAAGACGAGGTACTAGTGAGTGGCTAGCAAGGTCTCCACCTTACACCGCTGGATTTCTTTTTATGGGGACATCTCAAAAGTAAAGTCTACATTCAAAAACCCAACAACATAATAGATATACAGGAAAGGATAAGAGAGGAAATCAATAAAATAACACCGGAAATATTGCGTAACGTAAGAGATGAAACATACCACCGACTGGGATGCTGCCAAGTCAATGGTGCACATTTTGAGCACTTGTTACATTGAAAATAAAATAAACTTTTGAATTACGTTCTGACTTTATGCAACCCCCCAACGAACTAGAAACTAAAATTTGATAAGTACGCTGGATTCCTCGTTTCATCAGCTTTGCAATGAAGGGTCACACGCCACAGAGTTTCATTTGAAAAAAACATGTTAAGTTGAGGGCGGTTTCAACTATCCTCAAAGGGCTATATTTTTCAAATTGCTCGCAAAATGTAGGTAAATATATTAAAACGTTGATGTGTCTTGGGAAATTTTAGAAAAATTATTCACCTTCCCGCTAGCGAATTTATTCCAGTTAAGATTTCCACCCTGTATGTAATATCCCCAGTTCATGATATAGTTTATTGGAAGGGTATCTGGAATTTTTGGAAAAAAATATTTTAAGAATTTAGTAAAAGTTTGCGATATTTCTTTCTTAGTTTTGGAAGGTTTCCAGTAAACGCTTTCATATTCCTGACTCCTGAAAAGTATGAAACAACAGGAAAATCGATTCCATGCGCTTTCCAGGACTTGCGCAGATGTCACATGTTTCGATAAAGTTGGCAGCAGGAACACTGGCTGGAATCGATTACTTACAATCGATTCAGAAATGTAGAACTTATTTACGTATCTTATTTAATTGTTGATGCATAATTTTTGTATATTTTATGGAACATTTCGATATAGACAAATATATTTAGGGATCGTATACAAGAAGCTCAAGATTTATTGGTTATAAAGACAAAAACTAGACTAATAATTGTATTAATCTCTTCATCTCGCCGACTCTGATAAAAATATGTAGATTATGCAACTTTAGGGAGAGATAAAATATCTCGGGGTCATAAGCGATAAAAGATTTTTTTAAAATCAGCATTTTAATTACACAGCTAAAAATATAGGAAGATCCTAACCGAAGCACAGAACTACAAGAACAAAGGGGATGACATAGACCTTTTGAAATTATGTTATAGTTCTTGATGTCTTGATTAAAAGTTCTCTTAGGCACAAACAAAAATCATTAATTAGTTTTCATTTTCATAGGTTTCTAGAGATGAGGTCTTCCGATACCCTTTTGTTAACATAAATATCCTGAAAAGGAAATTAGGTTTAAAGGAATTTAAGGATTCAAAAAAAATTTCGGGGTATTATGAGGAATTTTGGGATTTGATGAGGAATTGTGGGAATTAATAAGGAAACGCTATGGAATTTGCGGAATTTATAGACAATTTTCTGAGAATGACGGTAATTCCCAAGGGACTGTTGATGAATTGCAGGAATTGGATAAGAAAACTAGGTTTTGCTTGCACAGGGTGTTTCATTACCAATTAGAAATATTTCAACTATAGAATCCTAAGCTCAAATTATGAATATTTAACCCAATCCCTGTCTGAGTTAGTAGAGTCTCACCTATACTACCGATTAATCTTATCGGGATTGGCAGGTATTTTCTTACTAAAGAACCTTCAAAAAATTTAAAAATCTATAATTAAATATATGTATAACAAACTCCTTTAGCTAAAACTAAGATTGTATCAGTGGCGTACCTACGGGGGATAATGGGGATATATCCCCCCAGGAAGTCCCAGCACGTCCGCAAACTCAAACACATCATCAAAGTGATAAGTGATCATAAGAAAAAATAAGAGTAAGATACCTCTAAATTGCTTTATAATAATTTCTAAATCAAATACATCATATATGTGTTAAAAGTAACTTCATAAATAAAAATTTAAATTGTCTCAAAATTGTTGTGACTTTTTGGCGGCATTTTAAAAAGGGTAATATGGTTCAGCTCCTGGAATAGGGGACTAGATTTTGTTATATAAAATAGAATATTCAAATTTATAATAAAAATTTGTTCCATGTTCAATTTTGTTATCCCCGCACTGGATTGTATGCCAAAACCTTACTACTTATATTTGCACAAACACAAAAAGCTCGCCAGATTTATTTCTCACTCGTATAACACCAGATACAAAATTGAATCTTTTGCTATATCTAAAACAGAAAAAACTATTGATCAGAAATGCGTGTTTAGGTCCAATTCTGAACAAATAAATTAAATACTGAATTAAAGTTAATAAATTCCATTAAGTTATTTAAAAAAATTCATCAGTGGCTGCTAGGAATCGAATTACAATGATTAAAACAATTTCCTGGTTAGACATCTCTTGCTACAGTCTAAAGATCAAATAAATAAAAAAAAATATTTTAAATTTTTAACTTTGATACTATTATTTTATAATATTTTAACTACTCTATTATATCGTAAGTTTCCTTAATGTTTTCTATGTTTATCTTATTGTGTTATGTTCATCTATTATTGTGTCAGATATAAAGGTGGCCACGCACGTAAAATCGAAATACTTAAGGCTGTTCTACTGCTTTCCGTTCGGTCGAAGATGAGAGGTACATCATCCATTTTATAGAATATCTCTGTACGCAACCCTCCCTTTGTTTATGTAAAGTCAATGTTACGTGTAATATTTCTATCTTTCTCCGTTCAGTCTAATGGGACGCCTATCTTTCTCGGTACTCATCTCCACCTGAAATGCGAGCTGGCCAAATTTGTCGGTACATTGTAACAATTATGTTGATAGTAATTTATTTGCAGATAATATTTTTATTTATTACTTTTAACATTTTATTTCACATAACAAAATACAATCATAAAAAAAATTAAATTAATTTCTTCTTACAATTTATTTTATTAAATATTTTAAATAAAAATCAACTAACTTTGGTTCAGCTCATAATCAAAAATTGTCATCTCTCTCAATTTTCTCAGCGAACATTCCTAGTGGGGTTCAAACTATAAAATAACAATATTTGGCATTCGGTATAGCCAATTATCCTTGTACCTGATGATAATAATAATTATCATCTTTTTTTTAATTTAATTTGGCAATCTAGATAATTTTTTTTTTGAATTCCCATTTTTGGTGTCAATTTGGAACAAGAATATGGACATTTAATTACAATTATTTCATTATTATTAATAATCTGGACTTGCACCCAAGTATGGATGTTTTTCATGAATAAATAATTCACATTCTTGTACCGTTTTTCCATATTTATTTTTAAATTCTTCTAACGCAATAGATTCATGATCTTGTCCCCATTTTGTAGTGATTGGCCCGTAAAAAGATGAATATAATATATTATTAACAGTCTTTTTTGGATCTGTTGTTTTTAGTAATTTGCAAACGGTCCCAATATTTGAAGCCGTGAGCTTATTACTTCGATGTTCTTTCCACAAATCATTACTGACCTGACCTCTAGTAGATACTTCAATTTTACAAATATCGTCTATTGATATTGGTAAACTATCCAATAAATGCAGTTTTTTGTTCCAAAACATCGTCATCATCATCGTATTGAAGTTTGTAGTCCCTATCTTTAGGTGCGCCACTTTTACCTTTTTTTTAATTGAGGGCCCCTGGTTTTTCTACTTTATCTACGTTTGCTCATTTGAGTAACTAATCTTTGTGTGTGAATCCCAGGAACACTTTTTGACAGCTTTTTATAAAGAGTGGGAATATAGTTCTCTTTTTTATTAAAAGAAATGGCTGCAGCTGTACACTGAACATTATATCCTCCTTTTACTGCAAAATTAATTCTCTTTCCTCCAACAAATTTGGCTACGATTGAATTATATGTCTCTGCAGCATTATTAGTCATGTTTAATAATAAACTGTGGTTATTTTGAACCAGCCTATTACCAGCAGATACAATTTCATCCATTAGTCCGCATTCTTCCATTTCTCTCACATAGTCTCTGTCGTTTTGTTCTCTTTTACAAAAATATTGTGCACATTATACACGTTTCCAATTCGATTATTGTTTTGCACAATCGATTTAAAAACTTATTCGATTCTATCATTCACGTATTTAGTGGCAGTTTTCTGTTTTCACGTTTTCGTATCTCACATCGATTCTCTCCGGTTCTAAAATTGTTATTAGGCAGTAGCAGTGTAGATAAAACGAAAAATATTTTACTATCTGATATTGTGTACCCGTTATCATAATGAATAATATATCCCGGTTGAAGTGGTTGACAATTAAAAAGAGAATTTCGGAGAATATGTAGATAATTCAGTGCCTGATGTATATCTTTACAGTGTGGTGATAATACCAAATGATTCAAGTAAGATAATATAAATAATATAACAATTTTGGACAGCGGTATAACTCTATACTTGTTTAGAAATATACTATATCTAATTGGTATCCAATTTCCACCTCTTTTAATATTATTTATATTATTAATTTAGTTCTAATGATGATTTTAATTATTGTTGGGTAAATAATATTGTTCGTTTTATTAAAATTAAAAATATGTAGTATATCTATAGAGTGGCCCATTAGTGCGTAATTGATCGATATTTCAATTTGTGTTATTGATACACAAACAAGTTTCAAATAAAAGTTATATGGATTTAAACAAGATATATTTTAAAAATATTTTAGACTATACAGGGTGTAACGTTCTTTCTGGCAAATTAAAATATATATTTTTTAAATAGAACACCCTTTATTTTGTTTCAGTTTTATATTGATCTGATAATACTGTATTTAAATCTGGAATGGTTTTAAAAAATATCGCTGGTTTGCCAAGCAATTAATTTGATTGTGAAATTAAAGAATGATGCAGACCCCCTAATAAATTTATCCTAATTTTGATAAATTAGCAAACATTTTTAATTTGCTTAAAATACTTCCAAGATACAAAGCTAACGACACTAACTATTCTTTCAATTAATGTTGGTGGGATTGCCACTATTAAAGTACACATTAGTGAGACCACTACTAATTCCCATACAACATCATGCCATCAACTGTGACGTGATTTTTCGGTATGCGTTACGTCATTTGATGACGTGAAAATAACGTTATGGTAACGTGAGAATATCACAGTAAAATGACATCATTCCATATCGTCATTTTGACGAATCGATATCACGTTAAAATAACGTGTATGTCGGGTGTCCTAGTCTAGGCAAATTGACGTCATTATCACGAATCTACCTAACGTCAAAGTGACGTCTATATTGTGTGTCCCAAGGTTGGATGGAATTATTAAAAATACTAAGTAGATAAAAGTTATTTATTTAATCCAAAAAACACATGAAAAATATATTATAAGAAAAAATTACTCAGGTAAATAAAAAAAGTCATGAGCAAGAAACCAAAAGGAATAAAATGACAAAAGAATATTAGAGGAACGGACACAACATACCTAAAATTGTAATTTGGTACATCACTTATCATCTAAAATAAAAGAACTATTAAAATACAGACCACTGAAAATTCTTAAAGATAGAAAGTAAATTGTGTATCTAGTTGTAAAATCCGAGGGGATTACTTCACCGGAGATTTAGGTAGAAGCCCCAAAAACTGCCTTCTCAGAGGTATACATATAGTCTTGAGTTTATAATAAAAGGTACTAAAAAAAAGATCATGTGAGATGATAAAAGGTATCTAAATCAAGTGACCCCCTACATACAAAACTTTCATTTATAAATAAATTATTTAAAAAATACCCTAAAAGAACTGATAATCAAAAAATAAAAGTATAACATTACTCACCAGTCTTATATTATATTTCTTTATAAAGGCGTCCAAAATACTTGTTTTTTGCGCTGCGTCAGCCATTTTCTGTTCACCTCGCAACCGCCAGACCGTCTTCATCCGGTTTTTCAAACTCAACAATGCAATACATCTGTAAAATACCAAATTCGGTTTAATATACTTTATTATTTTGTCACATTCTATTTTTTACATTTTTCTAAAACATCTTATCAAATAAAGTACTATTTAAAAATGTACCACGTTCACGAGGTCACGACTGTTACGAGAATCATGATGATGCAGGAAACAAGAAACAATAAATGACAATATGACATTGCCAGAATATTTTTTAGTTTAGTACTAGATTGGTATAAATAATTGTACCAGATTTCATAAAAATGTACTAGGATCGGTCTCCTCTCTAGTTGCCTTAGGAATATTATCAATTGTGTAGGATTTATTACATCTTTACGGTACTTTTACTAGTTTAATTTATATTAATTACACTGGACGATAGCGGACAATGTACTGAATTTCGTTTCTAGCGTAAAAGTTACCTTTAGGATGTACTAGATCCAGTACAATTGTACTAGATTAGCAAAACTCATTGCCATTTGAGATTCGAGGATATCGGAATTAGGTTAGCTATACGTTAAAAAGACACAGGCAATAAAATCTTGAATAATTAATGCTAGAAAACAGAACGTTACTAATTATCCGTATCAAAACATAAGGCACCGTAATTTTACCAAAAAAAATTTACAAACTGCAGCTCGAACAAACTTAATATATATACGTGTTTTCAGTTGAAGCAATTTCCAATTAGGTTCTTTATAATTCAACACTTAAGTATTAAAATAAAATAAGGTAATTATAACGAATTCTGAGTGACGTCTATTCTATGTCATCAATGCGATGTCAAATACACGTTACTGATTAGGATATTGTATTTCGGATAAATTAATACTAAAAAAATTTTCATAATGACGAGTCTGTGTTGACGTCTAATTAACGTTGTAAAAACGACGTCAAAATAACGTCATTAATTGGGATAGTGACGTTTCTGACGAGTAAATCTAAAAAATCACGTCATAATAACTGCACCTTGCTGCTTGGGTTACTCGTTCAATTAACATTGGTGGGATTACCACCATTTAATACCCTTTGTGAATAATTTTATTTTTTATTTTTAGGGAAGATGTCGTGTCTGGAATATATGTATAGCAGCTCTAATCTTCCTAACAGCATACAATGTGATGTTGACAGTAAAATTGATGTACACACAAGACTGCCCGAAACATCACAGCATTCAGAAAGTTCCAGAAATAATTTATGAGAAGTGCAACAAAGACATCGAATATATCCAAGATGAAATTTATTCAAATTTAAATTTAAATTTAGGACGTTGGGATAACCAGCATAAATATAAATTATTTGATAATTTCTTAGTAGGAAAAAAGTAAGTTGTTTTAAATAAACATTTTTTTTTTTAGAAAAAAATATTTTAAATAAGTAGTATTTTTGACATTTCAGTGTAGAAATAGTAGGTATATTTTATTACAAGTCCAGAAAATACGCTTTTCACGGGGGAGCGTGACAATTTTTTATTTTCTGACGCCATTTGCAAAATAGATGACACTCTTAATCATATATCTCGCAGGACTTTTTGAACAGTAATTTTACACTAATTTTTGCTGTTTTATGTAATATTTTTTGTTCTGGAGAAAGCATTTTCAGGAATAAAAAAAAAATAAAACTTTCATAATAATATTGTTGCTAAGGAAATTAAATAATAGCGTATATGTTTAAACACATTTAAAAAAAATGACAACTGCTGTAATAATACAGGCATTGTTTAGTAATATAATTGATAATGACGTTATTTAGCGCACCGGAAAAGTTTTCCCGTGCGGAAAAAGCCCATTTTCGGTGCGATAAATAATCATGTAAAGATAGTGTTTTAATAGGTAAAATTTTCGTACTACTATCATTTTAGCTCAGTTTTTTATGTTTGTCAAGAAAGTTTTAATTCTGTCCCTTCCTTGGAAAAAAATGAATTTCTTTTCTGGGCATCTGCACCATTTTCCTCGTTGAATATCTATACAATCTCAACCGATGCTAATGCGTACTTGTGAATTGTATATTGCCATCAGATTGCATTGAAGACTGAAGTCGAGATTGTCTATTTATTGCTAAAGAGTCCTAATAAGGACGAAACTAGTCCAAGAATGACTTTCTTCTTAGGAAACAAAATCAAAGTTAGAATGTTAAAAATTATTTTCTATCTCTGCTAGTCACCTCTTGATATAATGCAATGCCTATTGCTGTACTAGCCAAAGGAGCACATATTTCGAATTTTTCTCATTTTCTTATTGTTTATTTATAAATAGAGTCACATTTGAGAATTTCCTTTACATTTTGTTGTGTTTGAGATTTTGTGAGTTTATATACAAAAATCTGATGTGTCCAACACATGACTTTCTTATCTAGTTATTATAGGCTTTTTCCGGTTATTTTGTACAACATATTGCAGCACCTCTATAAATGTCTAGAGGATAAACTAAATATATACATTTTCCACATACATCTAACTCGAAACATTTCTCTATAGATATTCATTGAAAACAAAAATACTGAAAAATTTAAATTTAGCATTTTTCTTCCAATTTTTCCATTTCGGTCCATTTTAGAGAAATCATCAAATTAGAGAGATCAATATCGCATACTTTTAGTTTAACATTTTCTTAAAAATTTGAATTTTGCACATTTTGTCGAATTTCTCGAATACGGACCATTTTAGGAAAATTTTGTATAGTACAAAAATTATAGATAATAATATTGTAAGTAACTTTTATTTGAAAAATCTTCTTCTCCAAACGTAAATAACAGATATACAGATAAGAAAGTAAAAATACTTGTTATACTCTTCACAAAAACTTACTCTTCACAAAGTAGTGGCTTTTAAACAAAAAAAAAAAATCTAAATTAAAAATGAAAAGCGATATCAATATGAATACTTAAAAAGTCAAGTGCTATAAGAAGATGAAGCCTATTGATTAAAATAAATGTCATTGAAAATAGGGTTTAAGGGGGTCTGTGAGAGTGTGAAGAATATAATATAGAATGCCAAGCATTATATATCTTTATTTTTTTTTGTAGATAAAATTATTAGTATTTTTTGTACAAATTAAAACAGAAGTTAGTATTAGTAAAAGGATATTTGTATCATCTAAAAACTAATGAAAATATACTGAACATTAATTTTCCTTCCTCTTGTTGTAGTTCTTTATTCGACAATTTAATAGCACACAATAATGAATATTTTTAAAGTACACCTATAAATTTTTGTTTTTTATATTTCCTCAAGCTTACTACTGCAACGTTTATATTTTTACAGATACACCATTTTAAGCGATTTATACGAAACCTGTCTAGCAACACAAGGCTCTCTAGAAAAACTTCCTTCCTTAATAGAAGTTGCTCATAATTGGAATGGTCCCATATCGGTGGCCACATTTGCTGCTAGCGAAGAAGAATTAAATGCACTGCTACTATATATTTTGTATCTCAGGAAATGTAACGAAAAAATAATCGATAAAGTTACTTTTCATTTGGCTCTCGCAAAAGAACGTAAACCTAAACAATTTAATATAGACACACAGAAATTGAAGGAATTGAAATGTAATAATCCTACAGAAGTAGTACAACATTTAAGCAAGAATTTACAGGTGAGAAACTATTATCCACAATGATTTTGTGATATAAATTAAATACAATATCATGTTTTTTCTATCTTCAATCAGATTATATTTCCTCTTTTTAATGTCGTGGTCTACAATTTTTGGAGTGACTTCTTTGTATGCTAGTCACACTTGATTATGAAAGTGTGACACCTTTCACTATATATAATATAATTTAATCATAATGTGTATCTGATATTTAATTATTATAATTAAGTGGTGAATTATCATGTAAGTAAGGACAATTAGTATATTTTAATCCGTGTTTATTCAGTCCATAAAACATATCGCCTGGTGAGAACAATAGTGGCGAAACTCAAAAATCAAGAATTTTGTCTGGGGTCGTTATATAAATACCACCGTCAAGTATCTCAATATTTGTACTCTTTCGAAATTATTATTGGGAAAATTTGATCTCCTATGACTAGTTTTCCAAATATAACCTAATAGGTACCTAATATATGAATTTTAAACATATACGGACATAAGTAGATATGTTCAAGAGAAATACCTTTTATTAAATATTTTGACACTCTGTTGGATTAAGAATGTACCGCTTTGTAAGGAAAAAAAGAATCGACAAAACATAGAAACTAATTGCCTTATAAGTTGCGAGTTGTTTATTAAAATAGTCTACATACAGGGTCATTCATTCATCCGCAAATGTTGCTATTTTAACACATTGTTGTTGAGAGATATCCCTGATGTATAACAAGTAAAAAACTGGTCCTAGCACACTACCTTGTGGGACATATGCTTTAATTTCTTTCATTTCGGAGTATGCCTCGTCTTGCTTTACTCTAATTCTTCCCGTTAGATATGATTGTAGAATGTCGACATACTGTCTAGGGAATATTATTTCAAGTTTCTGTATCCGGCCAGCGTGCCAAATCTTGTCAAATATTTGGGCTACGTCAAGAAATATGGCTGAAAATATATATTTTTCTTCGTAAGCTTTTTCGATGATATCGGCTATCCTATGTACTTAATCTATTGTCGAGTGTTTATTTCTAAAACCAAATTGGTGCGAAGGGATCAGATTTTTATTTTCAATTACTGGTATTAGTCGTTTTAGTACTAGTTTTTCAAATAACTTAGATATTATCGGTAACAATGATATAGGTCTATAAGATGACATTTCATTCGGATGTTTTCCTGGCTTAGAAATTAGGATAACCATCCATTTTCCACGCATCAGGTATATATTTAAGGCGAACTGCTGCATTTATGAGGTAATAAGCTCATATCCTGAAGCTTTCTGTGAGTTAATGTTTGTTTGAATTTCTTTCATAACTTCATTGGGAGTAACTAGCCTAATTTCAAGTTGTTCCATATTATCTCGTTAGCAATATCTTGATTTTCATCTAATTGGAACTTCCTTTGTAGGTGGTCAGCGAAAATATCAGATTTCTGTTGATTGTTCTTGCCCATTTGTTAACTGCTATTTTGATAAGAGGACAGTGTTTACACGAATTTTTCATCTTTTTAGTTGCCTTCCAGAGCTAATAATCAGTTTCTTTATCATCTGTTAGCCCTACTAGTAAAATGTCCTTGTGACTTTTTAAAGTTCAAAATGTCCTTTCTTCCGGCAAATGTCTTTTTTTTACGGCAAATGTCTTTTTTTACGGCAAATGTCTTTCTTACAGCGCATATTTTTGAAAGAGACATGGTTTGTAAAAAAATATATAAGCTGAGGACCTTTTTTATAGAAGATCGGTAAAATGACGAGGAGGATTTTTTTGTTACAAGCTTGGCGACTTTTTTCTTTAGAAGTTCAGTAAAGGATGAGGACCTTTTGTATACCCCCTGTCATCATGGTAGTCTTTTATTCACTTTTCAAAAAGGTGGCAACCCTGTTGAAGGATTCTTATTTGGGATTTCTCTTCTTAGTCTTTCGGTAGCCGTATTTAATATATTTTTATCTTCTGATAATCTTGTCATCTGCCATTTCTTTCTTAGTTTTTTTTGATGGATGGATAGTGTGATAGAAGTTGTACCCTCTGAATTTAATGTATGATTCCGTTGTAAGGTGAGTCTCAAAAATCAGACATATATCTATTTTTTGTACGTCTAAGGAAACTTGGATATCAGTTTGTTTTTGGAGAATACCATTGGCATTCCACGAGGCTATTCTAATATATCTTTTGTCCATTGGTGGTTTTGTTATATATTTGGGGTTTATTTAATTCTTCTAGCTTCTGAAGCCTCTCATTGAGTAAATCTATTCTGGTTATTAAGAATAATAATAAATCATGAGTGGTACTTTCTGCTAGGCTGGCTAACTGTGCAGTAAGCTGTGCGATTTGTGGCGTGGGATTCGTGGCTGGTTGTGACTTTTGAATTGGTTGCTCCTGTGAGTTTGTTACCTGAGAATATATTATTTCATTTCTGACAGTAGGAAAAGCGTTTATGGGTCTCTTCTGCCTCGTCATTATTTTAGGCTTAGTGGTGTTATCCTTCCTTATCTAAAAGGTGTTAGCTACCTCACATTCTCTGTAGTTAGCATGTTGATTCATTAGGCAGTTTATACTTTTTACTCAATCCTTCGTATGATGTTTTCCTATGCACTTTACGCATCTTGATTCTTTTTTGCAAAAGTTGTGTGTATGTCCAAATAGCTGGCAGTTTTTGCATTGCGGAACTAGTTTTGACTTTCTTATGGTTTATATTCTAACTCTTAGATTAAGTATTACTTGATTTCGTAGATTTTCTTGATATCTTCAATATTTTCGATTGATAGCAAGAATAGCGGCAATTATTTTTTATTTAATTTAAGAGTGTTATCTTCGTTTAATTCTAGTTCCTTCTTTATTATATTGACAGCTTCTTTACATTTTAATCCTTGAATTTGCAAGTCTTTAACAATATCTTCTGGTTTAGATGTAGATAGTAGACCTCTAACCATTACTTTAATATCTTCTGTTTAATTTCAAAGGAATACCAATTTATGTTTTTGGCATTCAAGGTAGATATGACGAAGTCTTTTTCTTGTTTAGTATTAATTTTAAACTGATTATTACTTAGAGCTGTGGCTTGAAAGAAAATATTCAATTTGTGATGATTAAACTTGTTCCAACTTCAATACTTTTTGAATTATAACTTTACCGGAGGTCCCAGTTACCCCGAAACTTGGGGCAAGTGGGACACCTAGCTTAGGGAAACTTTGTTCAAGAAAACTTTTTCATGCTTTGTGATCCTTCAAAGTTTGCGTCCAAATTTGGTTTACCTAGTCTTGTTTTTTTGAGAGTAAGATCGTTTTGTAGATTATGATGGCTCTAACGTTTAAATTTTTGTTAAAGTTGTCTGTAAGTAAACACAAAAATTAAGGTAAAAACCATCATTTATTACTTTACTAATTTAAATCATAATTGAATGCCTATATTGTGTCAAATATGCCTCTGTTGTTCACCATATTTATGGTGGTATAATCAACGTACCATATCGAATCTTCTACTTTGGGCCATCTCTAAGAATTACCAAGTTTTCCATACGTTTCCTTGCAGGAAACTTTTACTCGATTTTCATCTCTTTTTTAACATGTCCTGGAAAATAAAGTCCATTGTACACTACAATTACATAATCATATTCTATTGCTACAGGTCTAGCAGCTTCAGATTTAGATTCGGATGAATTAGAATCATCAAATTCACTTGCATCACTAATAGATGAATTTTGACGTTTTTTTTTTAATTGTTATCTTCTTGGGACTATTTTAATATGTAAATCATCATTATCATAATTTTCATCTGCTGTAATGTTCTCTTTCCGGACTTTGTTTTGCTTCTCATGTTTTTTTTAATGCGTTTTTTGATTCCCCAAACTTAAAACCAAATCTTAGTTAATACTATTTTAAATTGTTATATTCTATTCAGATGGTTCCAACTAGTTCTGACAAACCAATGTGGATTTCCATATACTTCCTGATTTTTTAAATCCCGAATAGAGTAAACACTTAATATAACAAATTTAAACTTACAGAAAGGTAGTAATCAATGGAGGTCCAGGCTACCGTACCCCCAAAACCATGTGCGAAACCTAGCCAGAAAAAATTGCCAAACGCGATTTACATTTCTAACAGATGTTGACATAATTCCCAGCAAAGGTATGGCAGAAGTTTTGGACGCATATTTGAGGGAAAATAAGTGCAAGGACAAATGCGCGTATGTAGTGCCAACTTATGAAATAGACGATAGAGTAATGTTTCCTCACAATAAGACTGAATTGATACGGTTGGCAAATAAAGGATTGGCGAGACCATTTCATCATAAAGTGTTTATTTATAATCAGTTTGCAACAAATTTTTCCAGGTTGGTACAGTATTTTTATTTTAAATTGTATCCTTTATTTATTATGTTTTGGAAAAAAATAACCGATCATATATTAGTACTAGTAGTATTAAATTTATTATATAGGTCTGCCCCAACAACTATCACAAACCAGTCACTGACATCAGAATTCTGCGTATTAGATGACTTGATGTTCCCAATAATCTACTGAGCAGAATTCTGGTCTCAGTAACTGGAACAAACCATATATATTTTTTCAATTTTCAAGAACAGGTGTTAGGATATATACTTCCAATAAAAACCTCTTTTTATTGATTTATAGATTGAGAAGTATTTAATTTTATCCTATTATAATATATTTCTAAATATCAAAATTTATATTAATATATAAATAAGTATTTTAGTTCTATGAAAAAGATTTTTAAAAAAGTTAGGATTCACCCTGTATATCTTTATATTCTGTCAATGTGTAGAACATTCTTAATTTCCTTCAATATCTTAAATATTTACTCGTTTTTTTTTTTTATTTAAGATGGCAAAATACTAAAGATGAAACAGAAGACGTGCATATAAGTCATCCAGTAACAAATTTTGAATTCTTTTATGAACCGTTCTATGTAGCTCCAGATGTCGTTCCTCCACATGATGAAAGGTTCATTGGTTATGGATATACACGAAACAGTCAGGTATGTTGTGTAGATAGAATAATATTCAATATTTTGTGAACTGAAATTAAAAATTGTCTAAATACAAATAAAATAGTATTCACATCTAAGTGTTGTTATACAAGAATGGAACATAGAAAAACTGAAGATTTTATCATTAAAAATTAGACAATTAAATAAAACATGCTTGGGTAGAATGTTACTCGTTTCTGGAATACAGGGCGATAAAGTTTGAAAATTCATAAATAATTGTTAATGGCTATACTTTTTTAAATACTCAGTAAAATTTTACTAAATTGGGTAAACGTTTTTGGTGTTATAAGATACCCTTGTTAGCAAAACAAACAATTGAATAAACTATACCAGTGGCGTACGACATGGGTAAGTCGCACTTTCATCCTCTTCTGAGTTTTAGGCCACTGTCCAAAAATTTATTGAATTATAATTTTGAATTTTTTAATGTTCTTTTTATTTTAAATAATTCCGTACTCTTGTTGGAAATTTTTTAAAAATTCAAAATTACAAACTTAAAAAATAAAAAATGAAGAATATCTCCCTTTAAGTGTAAATATCTCTAAAACCAATCACTATGAGTTATTTAAAGTATGTGATTTATTTAAAAAAAAAAAAAATTCGAATTTTTTTAAATTATAGGCTAAATAAGTTTTTGGACAGTGGCGTAAAATTTAGAGGGGGATGAAGGTGTTGAAGATCAAAGTTGGCTGAGGATTTTGAAATTTGAGATATAGACATATGTTTTGATTTCAAGCAATTTTTCTAAATAACTTTTTAACATATACCAACAGAGGTAATGGAAACCGAAGCGATTCCAGAAGAATTAACTTCGTCTCGATCAACCTCTGAAGAACGCCCTAAGGCGGAACAACCTTCGGAGGCAAGTGGCAGTTCCACAAACCCCAAGGAAGAAACTAGCCTGAAACGAGTTGCCTTAAAACTCAACAGGACTCACCTGGAGCCGCATGAGCGACTCCCAGGCACCCAAAAGAGGAAATTGGCTATTCAAAAGGCTAAGGCTGAAGGTAAACCAATCAGATCCAGAGCTGAGAGGACGGAGAAGAAAGGAGCCAACCGAACTCCAAATCAAACTCCTCAACTCAGACGGGGCCGCCTCCAAAGTGACAGTCCGTCTTCAACGGAGGTCACGGTAAGGGGTCACCCCAAGAAGCCTAAAATTGGGTCTGATAAAGCAAGGGCAACCACATCTGCAGCGCAAGCGGTAAAAGGTGGCTTGTCCTATAAAGAGGCACTAACACCCATGAAAATGGCGGTAGTGCCTAAAGAATTTCCCAAAGAAAAACTGACTGAGGAGCAAGCGAATCAGACTCAGGAAAAACTGATGGGAGAAATTTTGAAGAGTGGGGAGGGATCAGAACCACAGTTCAACAAGGGATATTCCCATAACGGAACTTTCTTCTTGATCTGTGCCAAAGAGACCGCTAAAAACTGGCTCTCCGAAATAATCCCCCAGCTCCAACCATGGCAGGGAGCACAACTTATGGTGGGACCCTCTCGCGAGATCGTCCGAACCAACAAAGTTGTGGCTTGGATACTCAAACCCATGTAGAACATGGAAACAACCAAGGTACTTGCGTTCCTCAAAACCCAAAACCAAGGGCTCCAAACGGAACAGTGGCAAGTCATTCACAGGCAAGTGGAAGACAACGGTCAAACCATTGTACTGACGATTGACGACGACTCTCTGAAGGCTTTAGAAAACCTGTAGTTAAAACCCTATCTGGGCCTAACTCAGGCAATCTTTAGAGTGCAAAGGGAGAGGAAGGAAGAACCTTCAGATGCTCAGAATAGTGCAAGCTGATCTGAGACACTGTTAGGCCGCCTCCGCAACCCTTTCACGTACCATTATCAGGGAGGACATAGACGTAGCCCTAATACAAGAACCCTGGATCTACAAAGGGTATGTGATGGGGCTCGGACAAACCAAAGGTAAGTTAATATACAATACCCAATGTGGAAACACTAGGACTTGTATATACATCCTCAACTTACAAGATTTCTGTTTTAGAGATTTAGTAGCAGTCAGGATGGAAATAAACATAGCAGGCAACAAGAGGCTACTCATTTTAACCTCTGCATACCTTCCCTATGACTCGCCCAGCCCTCCACCAACAGATAAGCTGAGGGTTTTAGTAGATACCTGTCGAGCCGAAAACCTGCAGGTACTCATTGCTGCTGACGCAAATTCACACCATAAAACATGGGGCAGCAAGGACAACAACAAAAGAGGTGAGTCTTTACTTGAATTCATTCTAACCACTGACAGAAATGTGGTGCGTTAGGGAAAACCTCTTACACTTACAAAAAGTGACCAACAAATTTAAAATGTCTCTCATTGTAGGGAGACGGGCATTTGGAAAAACATGGGGATTAAAACCAAAAATGGTCCACTGGCTATATTTAGCAATAACAAGGCCCATGATAACTTATGGAGCGGTTGTTTGGTGGCCAAAAGTAAACCAGAAAACAGCTTTCAATACCCTCTCAGGAGTACAGAGGCTGGCATGCCTTTGTATTACAGGAGCACTGAAAAGTACACCGACAGCCTCTATGAAAATCATTCTAAACTTCTCACCCCTTGACCTAGTCATAAAGGGGGAGGCCAGAATGAGTGCATACAGACTGGAAATCTCCAACAACTGGAATCCACTGGGACATATAAAACATACCAGAATAACACATGAAGTAAATGATTCTATATTATATATGGGATCAGATCACATGACACCCCTCCTAACCTTTAACAGACTCTTCCAGGTCAACTGTAACTGGAACGAGGTAAATAAGGAGATAGATAAATACTTGCTTAGCGGTCTCGTATGGTATACGGATGGATCTAAAACTAACAAGGGAACAGGCCCTGGCGTACATGGCATTAAACCCAAATGCGACATCATTGTCTCACTGGGAAAACATGTCACTGTATTTCAGGCTGAAATACATGCAATCGAATTGTGTGTACGAGAGAATTTAAGAAGGAAGTACAAAAAACAAACTACCCTAATTCTCTCAGATAGCCAGGCAGCTTTAAAGGCTCTTGATTCAAACAGAATTAAGTCAAAGCTTGTCTGGAACTGCCTTGGAATACTAAATGATCTGGCAACCCACAACAAGGTAAAACTGGCGTGGGTACCAGGGCACAAAGGTATCCAAGGAAATGAAAAGGCTGATGAACTCGCCAAAGAGGGATCAGATCTACCATAAGGTAGGATAAGAGGGCACAGAATCAGTAAGCTCATGCTAAGGGGACTAAACCCACGCATGGGCTACTGAGGCACTACAACTCGCAAGGCCTCATACCATGTGATCTTCGAATGCGAAGCTCTTACTGGGCGACGTTTCATCTTTTTCGGCCTAGAACCGGAAAGAACGCCCCAGGAACACTTGGTAAGAAATATATTAAAACTAACCAAAGTCAAAGGACTATTCCAAAGATAGTACCTTAATACGGGGAAATTAGGGGAATACAATAGGCCCAAGAAGCTGCAGTGTTCTGGGCCAAACCTAACCCTACCTGCTTACAACCGATAAAGATAAAAAAAACATATCTGTTACCGAAAAGCTACTATCTTGATAAAATAAATGAAAAATTACAGTTGGCCGAGGATTTTGAAATGACCCCGCAATAATCTTATGGAAATTGGGTTTCTGTCAAATTGTCTGAATTTTTGATATGTTGTAGATTTTGTCATCCTGAACAAAAGTCTCCATGGACACAAAGTGCCAAAATGAATATTTTGGCAGCTACGGAGTTGCCAAAGCTCCCCTGACCCATTGCAAAACTATTCATTTTCAATACTCATGTCAGAAGCATATTTTAATTATTCTAATATATAGGATAATGTTTTTGAGGTCACTGGACTCAACCCTCATGTCAGATTGGACAAATTGACCGTTGACAGCTGTCAATTCACTGTCAACGAGGATTATAAAAGTAAATATCCTCTTTTCACATTGAGAGTTTGGGTTTTTGAGGTCGCTGAATTCAATTCTCATGTCAGATTGGACAAATTAACCGTTGACAGCTGTCAATTCACGGTCAACGAGAAATATAAAAGTAAATATTCTCTTTTCACATTGACAGTTTGAGTTTTTGAGGTCGCTGAATTTAATTCTCATGTCAGATTGGACAAATTGACAGTTGACAGCTGTCAACTGTCAACGACCTCAAAAGCCCAAACTCTCAATGTGAAAAGATATTTACTTTTATATTCCTCGTTGACCGTGAATTGACAGCTGTCAATTTATCCAATCTTACATGAGGGTTGAATCCAGTGACCTCAAAAACATTACCCTATATATTAGAATAATCAAAATATTCTTTTGACATCTGTAAATAGTATTGAACATGAATAGTTTTGCAACGGGTCAGGGGAGCTTTGGCAGCTCCGTAGCTGCCAAAATATTCTTTTTAGCACTTTGTGCCCATGGAGACTTTTGTTCAGGATGACAAAATCTACAACATATCAAAAATTCAGACAATTTGACAGAAACCCAATTTCCATAAGATTATTGCAGGGTCCTTTGGAATAAGTATAGACCTAGATGGCGATTTTAAACAATTTTTCTTAAATATCTGCAACATAAAAAGCACTTTACTGCGGATAAAAATAGATTTTTTTGAAAATTTCCAAGACATCATTGATTTCTCAAAACTACCATTATTAGTCTTTAATCAAGCAAGACTGAACCCCAAAAAAATCAAAATTTAATACAAGAATTTTGTATCGTTTTCAAGAGTCGTTTCACCTATCCGGGAAAACACTGTATATATGAAGATGTATTAACATAATATGTGGTCATAGACATTTTTATTTAATGTATTTATTGATTTCGTTAAAAGTTTATTGTTTTTTTTTAATTGTAGGTGTATGAAATGTATGTTGCTGGCTATAAATTTCATGTTCTTTCGCCAATATTTACATGTCATTGGGGACTTCAAGTTAAACGATCCAGACCTCCTTGGCGGGAACACCAAAACACCCTGAATCGTAAACTTTTCGACAGTTTCAAGAAAGAAGTTTTCGCTAGATACAATAAAGATCCTTTAAATCTCATAAAACCTAAGAAAAATTGAAGAATCTTCTTTTTGAGAAAGTAACCCGGGGACCACGTTGAGAAGACAATTTTGGTGCGAGCCTTTAAACATTTGTAATTGTTGCTAATGAAGTGGAACAGAAGGAACTGTAAATAGAGCCCAAATATCTTATTATCAATTGCGATAATAAACTGCAATCGAATTATTAGATTACATTGTTTTATTTTTTGAAAATGTAAATAAGTTTTGTAGCGGTTCAGCTTAGCAGGTTACTTCTACTTTTAAGAATATCTGCAGTATCTGGTATAATTTAAACATTTTAGGTTAAGGTAACGTTTCCGATTCGAACTCTAACTATATTTTGTTTATATCCTAAAATAATTGAAAATTTTAGCATGTGTGGAGCGAGATAATAATGTAATATTGCTGTTTGCAGACACAGTTTTTGAAAACAAAAATCATCAGAGGAATGGGACTGATCCTAAGCTGCAATAATCATTCAATATTATTAAATTAATTGCAGCTTTGTCCACACTAAATTAAAAATTAGAAGAGATGGTTTCTTACAAGCATTAAACACAACCAACCCAGCTAGCACAAAAACATCCCATCTACGTTAATAAGCTGCAATTTTAGGCTCTTTAAGCTCGCATGCAATGTACTGTTAATGTAACCCTATCATCCCTGCAACCACCGAATGTCCGCAACGGCAAGACTTTTATAGCACATCTCACAGAGGTTACAAAATTAAAGTTCGGAAAACATCACACTAGCACTTTTACGGTACTTACCCTGAAATTTGCTCTGAAACTTTTTATAGATGTTATAATGTGAATTCATTCTACAGCATTATACAGTGTGTCCACGGATGGACTTAACAATACTTGTAAAAATATTTATTTTAAATTTAAAAGAACTTCTTCATAATTTCTTTTGCTTGTTAAATAAATACGATTAACGTTGAGAAATTATGAAAAAGACCTCTTGAAAAATTTAAAATAAATATCTTTACAAGTATAGTTATGTCCATCCTTGGATACACTGTATTCAAAATAGTATATATATTGAGGATATAGTAAAATCTGAAGAAAACAAAATAAAAAATTGTATAAATTTATTACTAAAAAGCTTTTGAAATCAAGAACCAATATCATACAAGTAGAGGTAGGTATTAATAATATAGGTAAAAAAAACACTGACAAATTGGACAAAAGTAGGTATAAAGGGTATATAAGGAATATCTCAAAGGTTCACTAGAATCGAAAACACTGAACGCTTGCACGAAAGAGTATAATAAGGTACCTATATTGCAAAGGTTCACTGGTAGCTAAAATGGTGCACGATTGTACAAAAGTAGTAAAAAGTGTATTTATATAAGGTATATTTCAAAGGTCACTAGATTTTTATTAAGATGGCAGTTGTAGGATGCTAAAAAAAGATATTTGCCTACAACTAGGTACTAATCATAGTTTTAATATGATATAAACTGAATATTGATAAATGTAAAGTCATAAGGTTTAATAAAACAGCTAATATCATTATGCATGATTGTCATTGCAGGTTCTGAACTAAGTTTTGAGCAAACTATAAATGATCTTGATGTTATTTTTGAGAGGGACCTATAAGAGTTTGGAATGCAGATGTCGAGAAGCATCATTTGTTTTCCTGTATAAATTATTGAACGGTTTGATTGATAGTGACAGCCTGGTACACTTTATTAGATTCCTTGTTCCTGCCAGACTTACTAGGCATATGAAACTATTTTATGTAAATGCTCATAGAACTAACTATGGACAGAATTTATTTGTAGACCAACTGATGTCCAATTACAATAAGTATTTTTCAAATTATGACATTTTAAAAGGTTTATTTTTAAAGTGTCAACTTTTATTACACTATTTTCATTTTTATACTGTGACAATTTTATTAATTTCTTTTTTATTTTATTTTGATATTTTAACCATTTAGAACTTTATATATCAGTAGCGTACTGTAAACAAATAAATATGTGAACTTAATTACATAGTTTCTTCCGTAAAAATAACTTTGTAGATAATAAACTTACTTGTTTAATTATTATTAAGAAAATAATATATATATAAAGAAAATAAAAAATATGCTCGTTTAAATCGTTGCACCTATTTTTAGTTGATTTTTACTTACTTTGTTTTTTTAAATAAATAATAACATTTATTTTGACTTTTACAAATTTTATACTTAATAATGGATGTTCAACTTATACAGAACAATGTTTTTTAGCATGATATTCTGCTATGAAAGAAAAAGAAATAATCTCAGATGTTATATATTCTTCTTCAACCAATTCTGTATTAACTTTAGCTTCTAAAATTCCTGAGATTTTTACTAGAATTATAATCCAGCCCAAAGGAAACCTAAAACACAATATTTTTAAAATTTATTTTTAGTGATTAAAATATTATTACACTAGGGCGACCATACTTACAGCAATTTTTCTGTATTGTAAAGCATTTTTAAAGTTTGTCCAGCAATTGGTATTGTGCAGCAAACGTACAGCAAAATGGCATAGGTATATATATCCAGTGAAATGCTGTATTTATCCACCAAAACGTCACTACTGTCCAGCAATGGTAATACTTAATTTACTGAAACGTAACAAATTTAAATGTTATTTATCTTTAGTGAACTACATGAGCACTTCTATACTGCGGTTCTAGCAAGAAAGGTTTTATCTGCAAAATTAGCAGTTTTTTTTATGTGCATTTGTCTACATTTTATCTTTCTCGATACTGAAAAGGAATGTCTTATTTGTAACAAAGGTACTAAAATGTTAAAAAGTTACACAAAAAAAGGTTTAAAAGATAATAAATATAAATTTTCAGTTAGGATGGCAGTATATGACTTCTCTGTTTTTGTATTTTTATAATTGGGAGTAGGGTTGAGTATCGGTCAAAGGTATCAATACCGGTATCATGTGAGATACTTTGTGGTAGAGGCATCGATACTGTTCGATATTATGTTAAAGATATTGATATTTATAAGTCTCGAGTAACAAAGTATCGAAAAAGTAAAAGATTTTTGTTAAACGGCTGGCAACCCCCATTCAACAGGACGGAGTAGGGAACTTAACTAATAACAAGAGTGCATCAGTAAAGTATATTCTGTAGTCGACACCTTTTCTTTCTCTACTGGTACTCTACCTGGTACAAGTTATAGTGTCAATAACTGGCAATTTACCTTATAATTAAATAACAAAAAAACAGTGGTAACGCTTAATCATATTACCAAGTTTCACCACATGCAAAAACTAAAATATTTCAGTACAAATATTTGAACAAACCTTATAATCTCTGACCACACACATAGCGATACAATACTTGCTTCTAAGTATCACTATGGCGATAGTATTGGTAATTCAGTAATTCAGTGCCTAAATATCGATACTTTCATTGTTTAATATCGTTACTTCTATAGTATTAAGGCATCAATAAGATCCCTATTATCGTGTAAAATAAATATTTCATCATTTAATTGTATCTACTTGTTTACAATGATTTATTTTTGATTGTATTTGGAAATTGAAATTTTGCCATCTAAAACAACAAACAATAAATTAGAAAATTAGAAAATTTATTGAAAAGAAGAAAACAACTTACCAAAATTATTCAAACGTATAGTTTCCAATTTCTTTAAAATCTGAAATACGTACAAGAAAAAGTGACAAGTGACATTTTTTTATGTTTTGTTGGTTATGACAAACGAATGGCTACGTTCGAAAGTCCATAGTACTTCTCGTGGAAACTTTTTTAGCAAGTTACTTAATTACGTTGTGTTATCATAACAGGCAGGTTAAATACGTAAGTAACAAATAGATGTTTCGCGAGGTTTTGATTTCCCTCAACAACTTCTCATTAACGTTGCAATTACGTTGTATGGGTATGTTATTATGTTCCCTTAAAACAACATCGCCGAAAGGCTTGGTAACGTTATGTGCTAGCTGGGAAGAGCACTTGTGTTGAAATCCCCAAGTAACACAAAAAGTTATATAAGAGTTATACCGACGTTGCATTAACGTTTCTTAAAACTCAACAACTTACATGTTCTAATACACTATACCGTTATATATTATTATGCGCCTTTTAGTGAATATACAACCTAATAGTATACGTTTTACAGTAGTTGCTATAACTCCAGTCATAACTAACTTATAACTTTATAAAAAGATAATGTTTTTATGTAATTACAAATGGATATAAAAACGTTGTTAAGAGTTGTTATGTCATGATATAATTTGGTTTTATCTATATATTATTGTTTATATATCTAATGAAGAACAACAGCTGTAAACATTTTAGAGTTACTTCTTGCAAAATGGCATTACATCATAAATATCTCACTAATGGCAACTAGGTAAACCTTAATAGTAAACTTAAATTTTGTCTAAAAAGTCGGTGTAATCTACTTAAATTCTCTGACGAAACAAATTTTATGGAGTAACATTTGATTTTAGTTTGTAAAAATTAGTGCGCCTTATCATTTACTTAAAATAATGGTTTTAAAATTTATTTGAAAAATTACAAAAAAAAAACTTAACCTTATTTTGTCTACATATTGCAATTATAATACAGAATGAGATCAAAATTTAATTTTTTGTTTATTATTTACTAACATGGCGAAAAGTTTGTTTTCCTTTTTGCCGATTAAAATGGCTGAATCTTTTTATGACCAAAAAGTTGTAATTAATACATATAAACACTACGTTAATATTATTTAACTTATTATTTTATAAATTGTACTTTCGTTGCTTTTATGGGCACAAGATATTATTTATTACCACTACGTTATAACTGTCAAAAAATACAAACATTTTTATAGGTTATGTAGATGTGCTGTGTTTACTGTTACTACTTACTAACATCATTATTAAAATTTGTAATCGTTTAGGACTATTTCAATAATTTCTAATATTGGTTTGCAGGGATTAATAAAGAAAGGATCAAATGAAAAGTACTTATTTCAACTCAACTTTAACACTGTACACAGAGATAACAGAGATATATATACATTGATTGGGTGTAGCTCGCAAAAATCATCTTCTTTAGTGAGAAATAGTGCAAAATAATCGGATGTTTGAACACCATTAAAAAGGAAAAATCACAGTGAGTCCGATATACTACCCAATTTTTGAATTAAATGCAAATTAACAAAGTTATTAACAAAGTTATTAATTAAATCGTATTATAGCCAAAAATACAAGATAGTTTATTCTGTTTTTGCGGTGCTTTTTCTGCGATAAACAAAAGAAGTCGAATTACATTTCTGATTTAAAATTTTGGCAGTGTCTATTGAACCGATGCGTTGGAAACAAATTTTAAACAAACTAAAATAATAATGGCTTCTAATAAAATTGTTACTCTCGACGATTTACACGTCCTTTTACTTAATCTTAATGCAAAAGTGGACTTAACACAAACCACGCTAACTGAATTCAAGCAAGAACTTATGAACGTCGGTAATAGAACCAACAATCTTGAGAAAGAAAATATTGCCCTAAAAGCTAAGGTATTTGAGTTAGATCGTAAACTACGTAATAACAGTATTGTGGTTTTTGGATTGGAGAATCAACTCAATTGCGTAGACGCGCTCACATTTCTCTCAAGTAAACTTGAAATTAACTTGGGACTTCAAGATTTAAATTTTATAAACCTGTTTACTTCAAAAAATAATAAAAAGATATTAAAAATCGATTTCTTGTCTAACCTAAAGAAAAGTCAAGTATTAAAAAATCTTAACAAACTTAAAGACTCCCACATTTTCGTTGCCGACGACCTAAATCCACAGGACCAACTGTTACACAAGGAGTTAAGAAAACATCTGAATACTGGAAAGAAAAACGGTTTAAAAATATTTATAAAAAATAATCGCTTGTGTGTAAATAACAAAAAATACACATTAGAAGAGTTAAATACCAATCCCGATATTTTAGCAAGTTTATCCATTATCTCTGGACCTCCTACTTCCGAAGGTTTAACACAATCAAGCAGTTACTCTGGACCAAGTAGTAACCCACAGGATCTGGATAAAATAACTGATCGTCTACGAAACAAAGATAAGCGACAACTTCAAAGAAAATAGTTTGTGTTATTCTTATGTCCTAAAATTAGTAGTATATTAAGAAATATCTTTTTGGATCTTCTCTTTCTATTTACAATATTTGTTTTTTCTTTTTTTTGGTCTTAAACACTCCTTGAGTATCACTTAAGTATTATTTGTTTAAATTACTATTATGAATAAAAATGTTTCTTTTTATCATTTGAATGTACGGTCTATTTTCACAGGCTTCAACAGACTTTATGAATTTATTACTAGCAGAAATATTGATATTTTTGGTTTAAGCGAAACTTGGTTGTCACATGAGATTGAAACGAGGATTGTGGATATAAACTCGTACACACTTATTCGTGCTGATCGAGATGATAGGGGCGGTGGTTTAGCATTCTACATAAACAAAAAAATTAATCATAAAATATTATTTGCAAACATTAGCCATTTTTTAGAACAATTTTGGATATCTGTGATTTATGACAATAAGACTTATATTTTTGGTGTTGTATATCGACCACCAAAAGCTAGTATCTTACAGTGTCTACAAGAACTAGAAGATTCCGTATCAAATCTTCTTCCTACTAGTGATTTGTTTATACTAGCTGGTGATCTTAATATTGACTGTTTGTGCGTAAATAGACCTTTTACACTACTTAATGAATTTCTTGAGTTGTTTAATTTAAAGCAACTTATTGATAAGCCTACTCGTATCTCCAGAACATGCTCTACTCTTCTTGATCTTTTAATTGTAAGTGAACCACATCTTATTTCTAACATTCATGTCTATGATATTCACGGCATTTCAGATCACTTCTCAATTTCATGTAGTATCGATTCTTTAAAAAAAGACTGCAGGCCAAAATATGTGACATATAGAAATTTTTCTAACTTCGATTTAAATGCTTTTAATCACGATCTACATCTTTTGACCCTGGACAACATATATGCCATGGAAAATGTTGAAGAAATGGTAAACTTTTTAAATATGACCATAATTAAATTGTTTGATTATCATGCTCCAATTGTAACCAAAAGAGTAAGCAAATCTCCTTCGCCCTGGCTAACATACAACATCAAAGAAATCATGAAGCTTAGAGATAAAGCTTACAAAAAATTTAAATCTACTCAATCCATTGTGCACTGGAATTACTACAAAGAACTCAGAAATTACACCACATCTGCAATTCGTCGTGAAATGAGAGCATACTTAGACTTTGTACTTCTGCAAAAAAATTCTAAATCTACTTGGAATGCTCTTAGATCTCTTAATATCTTGAGAAAACTAACTGCCTCTTTTCCTGATAATTTAAAGGATACTGATAGTATAAATTCTCACTTCACCAACATTACTCACACACAAAAAACTCACCCCCAACTTTATCTTCTTGATCGATATCAGAACCAGTCTAGTGATAATACTTTTCAATTTTTCCCCGTTACATCATCTCAAGTGAGAAAACATCTTTACAAAATTAAAAGCAACGCTGTAGGTTCAGATAATATTTCATTGAGACTAATTCACCTGGTAGACGAATTCTTATTAGAACATTTAACGTTCATATTTAACACGTATCTCCAGTAGTCAGTTCCCGGAGCAATGGAAGAGAGCCTCTGTTATTCCATTACCAAAATGTAACAATCCCACTACCCACTCAGATCTTAGGCCAATTAGCATACTGCCTACTCTATCAAAAGTTTTAGAGATGATCTTAAAAGAACAAATGAACAAGTTTATGGAAGAATACATCTTACCGGCTACGCAATCGGGTTTTCGTTCTAGTCACAGCACTACTACTGCGCTTCTAGACGTAACTGAGTATATATATAATTCAATTGATAAAGGAAATGTTACTTGCCTAGTGCTGCTTGACTACAGCAAGGCCTTTGACACACTTGATCATCAACTTCTAATAAAAAAACTTTCCTATTTTGGATTTTCTGCACGGGCCGTTAAACTTTTAAAAAGTTATCTTGAAAATCGCTCCCAGAAAATTGTCCTGGACGAAGCTGTGTCGAGATCCCTTCCGGTTAAGTATGGTGTTCCACAAGGTTCCATTTTAGGACCACTACTTTTCTCACTTTACATTTCAGATTTTCATCAATTTGTAGAAAATTGTCATATTCATCATTACGCCGATGATTCGCAACTCTACTTGTCTTTTAACCAAGGAAATTCTTTGCAAGCTCAATACATCATAAATCTAAATTTAAAAAAATTATATGATATATCGTCAGCACATAATCTCAAATTAAACTCAAAAAAATCTGTCTTTATGCTATTTGGGCCCAATAAAGCTAGAAATCTTCTAACTAATAATTTTAAACTTAGCATAGGTCATGACCCCATTCCACTTGTTTATGATCATAAAAACTTGGGGCTGTGGATTGATTCTGAACTTAGGTTCACAAAACATATTTCTCAACTGTGTCAAAGCTCATACAACGTGTTAAGACAACTGTATCCTAATAGGGATATACTTTCACCTAAACTTAAATTAAAAATGTGTGAATCACTCATTATGTCAAAGTTATCATACTGCGATACGGTATTTGGACCAGCTCTTCTTCAAAGGGATTTAAATCGTCTTCAAAAAATTCAAAATTCGTGTATTAGGTTCGCTTACGGTATACGCAAATTTGACCATATTTCACAGAAATTCAAAGAATCAAAATGGCTGCATATCAAAAAATTACATTCTTTGCATATTCTGAATATAACTCACAAAACTCTTAAATATCAAAAACCGAAATATCTATTTAATAAATTCACACATTTCAGTAATAATTACGGAACTCGGAATAAGAGTACGTTAGTAATTCCCAAATTTAGTTCATCCATTGGACAGCGAAGTTTCTCTTACACCGCAGCTAAATTATACAATACACTGCCTAAAGAATTTGGATCGTACACTCTAATTAATTT